TCTCATTTACCCCCACAGCAAAAATTTTCCAGCATTGGATTTATAGGTTCCTGCTACCCTGGAGGACCCTTTATCCCACAGGGGCCCATTTGTTTTGAGAAGCATTGATTTCTGGAACTCCCACATTCACAGCTTTCTTGACTCTTCTTGACTGCTTGAGGTATCTCCAAATTAATTAAAATCACTCAAGTTATGACTATTACTTCCATGGATTTTTGTCTGTTTTTTTCTTCACAAAGCATATCCAATAAAAAAAAACACTGCCAAGAGAACCCCTGGTTTTAAATCAACCCAAATTCCTGCCATGATTGTTGTTGTTGTTGTCTGAACTCTCATTTACAAAATGTATATGAATATCAAACTCCATGGTGAACTAATATTTAAGCTTTGAATTCTCCTTTTGGAACAGGCTCATATCTAAGCTAAAGTGTAAGGATGACATAGTTTCACAGAGTCATCAAGCTTCCTATGGCATATACCAATATATGCTTGCTGAGAAGTAAACAATTGTTAAAATTTTCTATATTTAACTAAAAGAAATATGGAAAATAAAAAAATTAAAATAAAATTATGTTTGATGTTTTAGGCTAAATAGTTTTTCTAAAAAAATGAAACATTTAAAACATTTATTATATATACATACGCATATATATAATAAAATGGACAGTTTATTATGTATAATGCAGTGACAAACGTACATATTTGTTCTTTTATGGCAAGTCAAAACCACAATCACTTCTAAAATGTCAAAGTACCTATCTAGGCAAGTGTTGTCCATTTTACCTTCATGTACTTGCTGATATCAATTATGTATATCATAAATACAATTTAAAAATAATTCCCATCTAGCAACCCTACTTTTGAGTGACTGTAACCAGAACAATTGGGTTATTATTATGATTATTATTATTTGATGTTTATTTTTCCATCAGTAATAGTAATTACATTAACAGTTCAGAAAAAAACAAACTGTAATGTGAAATCAATTTGTGATGTAACTTTACTATTGATGAAAATATTTTAAACAACTCATGATCTTTACAAAATTTCTATACCCGAACAAACACATTCCATACAAATTGCAATGAGTAAAATGACGACTTCTTTCCATTTACTGAGAGTCGTGTTTTTTTAAGCATTAACATACAGATGTCAAGCTATTTATTTTACACCTAACTATGGTATATGTTAAGATGAACATTGCTAAGAATATAACTCAAAATTAAATTATCTTAAAAGAACTACAACAAGTTGTTTTATCAATCTTCAAGAATCAAAAATCACCAAATGATTAAAATCCACTGTTACAGTAAAACTGGAACTTAATTATAAAACACCTATATAATCTACTATACTTATATTTCATTTATTCAGAGTAGTAAGTACAGAGGGTTCAGGGAACCTGGAACCTCAATAATCATTAAAAGACCAGCACATCTCTGAATCCTACAATATTAAAAAATGTTGCTTCAGTGGGACAGAAACTGATTGATAAATTGATTATAAAAACATATTAAATATATCCTTTAATTATAGACAGTAGTTTTCAATCAACTCTGAAATTTGTTATTATATTTTTCAAACCCTCCTTAAAGATGTAACTTTTCAGGCCCTGACACTGTTGGCCCTTCAATGTTAAATATTTTTTGTACACAATACTTCACTGTATTTTTGACATGTAATTAGCAGTTTGAATTAGTCAACTTTTAATAAAATTGTTTAAAGAGTGAGTAACGTATACTCTTATTGAAGAAGAATTAAAAAAAATAGAAATAAACTTTTAACTTTGTTAATAATATCATGAGCAGCTGCACAAAAGTTGAGTGAGCTACACAAAAAGTTATCGCAATTTGGTTAATGGCAAATTGACTAAAAATATCTGTCAATTAGAGGGAAGGCAACTGGTCAGAAGCACCGACTCCCACTCTGGGCTACTCTCCCACAATGAATAGTGTGATTGCAAGTCACATTATAATACCCTCACAGCTGAAGAGATAAGAAGTTTTGGTGCAAAAATGGGGTTTGATCCCTCAACCCTCCAATCATACGTCAAATATTTTAACCACTAGGTCATGCAGGCCCATTTATTGCAAGTAATTTTCAATTATAAAATGAGGTTGTTGTGTCTAAATTTTTGATCCCATGCATGTGAAATACCAAAACTGTTTTAAGTGAATAGTATTTCTGGTTATTATGTATAGATGAAAATCTATGGGCTTGGCAGTTTTTCTTTTACATTTTGTATGGGTTTTTTTTGGCATTAAATATGAGGGTAGTCACCAAATGACAGTATAAGTGCAAGTAGGGACTGCCTGTTTGCAATTACTTCAAAAATATGCTAGGGTTTATGGCCAATACTTTATTGGGCTATGTATTATACTATTATGTGGTTGGCATGTCTCATCTGATTGATATGAGAGCTGTCCTTGTGTTGGGTGATTGACCAATGTATCAACATCAAGTTTGTCATCACTAGTAAAGAGGTTTATAGACATTTGATGATGAAGCTATTATACAATATACTTCATTCTGGATTTCTCTACTGAGAATAGTGTATAAAAAACCAAATGGTGCAACAGTTAGTTCTGTTATACATTGAAGACAGTATAATACCCAGTTGGTTCCTATGTATACAAACTTGTTCAGAGTGTTTGGAGTTTTAATCTCCTTAACTGCAGTTCACTACCTTCATTGCAAATTTGTAAATAAAACTTCATATTCTACATATCCAGATTCTTATTCACTGGAATTGAGAAGTGTGAAGCTTGTGACTACTGTCTGCAAGGCAGTGAATTGTGACATACGATACTCATGGATTTATGCTATTTTGTTTATCATTTCAAAAACTGACAGAGAGATAGAATATAAAGCATTTAAAAACTGAAAAATAAACAGTGTGCCAACAATTTCAATTTGTATGCAATCTATCAAGGCCAGTCAAAAGACTTAATGACTATTATTTAATCCTCACAAATGGTTTCTAATGAAAATATCATGCTTTGACAGACACAGGTCCATATACAGAGACACTGATTACACAGATCTTGCCAAATGACTTGAAAGCCTGTCATCAAACTATCTGTCAGGTAATAAAGCATTCTCTCATAGGCCCTGTTATGCTAAACCTGTTCATCCAACAATGCTGCAAAGAGCAAAGCATTGATTTGAGAAAGCCGTCCTATGAAAACAAGTGGAGGTTTCTGCTATGAAGAAATGTGGATGGCCATCATCAGTTGGAGAACCAAGAACTATCAGGTGTTGAACTTGATGAATGATTACAATGCTTGTCACAGTTACCATTTAAGAAGGACTCATGCATATTTTGCCAGAATGCCATACCAGAAGCTCTTCATGATAATTAAACAAATAAAACACTAAACAGTAATCATGGTGAGAAACTACAGTAAGAGAACACAACGAAAAAAAAAAAAAAAATCGAAAAATCAGTAATATGAACATATTAAAAAATGTATAATTTAAATGAAGACTGCATGATTTTTGCACATTTAACATAGGAACAAAGAAGCAATTGCTAGCAACAACTGAAAAATAAAAGTCAGAACAGGTGGTCTGCTCAAGAAGCCAAAGATGTAAAGATGAATAACAGGAAATCATCCAGTGATGCTGGAAGGGTAATTGCAGAAATAGAGTTGCTGAATGAAGTACAAGCTTCTCTAAAGAACCTGACATCCCTAGTGACAAAAATGAATGATATAAACACGAAATATCTTTGTGGCTGCTTTGATGAAGGAGACAGTGAGATGTCAGATATCCTCATTACTGATGATGTGTCTAACAAAAAGAAATGATTGTTGAGCAAAGTATTGTGAACAATAGCGATATCCTATGAAGCACATCTGTAAAACTTGTTTTTCTTTTCTTACCTTAGCCACAGATACATAAACCAATTAATTAACAGTAGATACTTTAAATCAACAACCTTTTAGCATACCCTTATATCCAAATGCATGTGAACCAGAAACTTACCTATGTTTGACTATTTTGTTCCTAGAAAGCATGTTAAATGTTCCCATTGTAGAAGTTTCTTAAAGTTATTGTGCTGCAACATGTGTGTTACGTATGTTCAAACTCATTTGAGTATTATATTTAGAGGTCTCGTACAATTTTTTTTATAGGAAAAAATTTAGTAATTATACACCAAAAATTCATTTTCCATTTTTACCATCGAAAATACATGTAAAAAATGCCAAAAGCTTTTTTTCCCTCATTATAATTTCATTCTCTACCAGTAGTTGAATTTTAATATTTCATGCACATGGACGATCATTATAGCTTCTACTAATAGAATAAAATAAGATAACATGTTAGATGTACAAACTTTATATAATTCATTCATAAGTCAATAGAATACAGTTTATATGTACTTAATAAAATCCAGTTGGCAACTGGTTTATTCTAGTTTCATCATCAGGATATAATGAAGTGGAATTAACAGATATTGTTATATTTTATGAAGTCCATTCCAGAGCATGCAAAATACATTTCCATGATAAGTTCTTCCAATGTCTATAATAAATGTCTTTCTACAAAGATTAAACTGAAAAAAAAAGTTAAATACAGTATTAGGTGTAAAACAATGCTATGTGAAGTAGGGTTTTTATTATGATTATTTCTTGTCTGTAAAGAAGTTCATAGATTTATAGTATAGCACATTTTCAGGATTACAAAAACAAAAGTCAAGCAAGTCCCACAAAGAGAAGATATCCCACAGTAGTGACATCTCTTAACTACAACTAACACCAAACAAAAACACACATTGCCATGTAAAACATCGTGTTGTACATTACATGTAAAGTTATGTATCTCGATATTCACATACTAGATGACACTTGAGAAATGTAATGTGTGATGTATGTGCATTGTCTCTGTGTACGTCTCATGATGCAAATGCTACCTTTTATGAAATCTCACTGTAGATGAACACTTAATTGTTAGGGGTACTCTTCCATAAGCAAAACCCTGTGAAAAAATAAACAAACACAAATAACTGAATAGCTTTTATAGAGGCACACAAACCTAATTCGTCAATTTCTGCTTGAAGAAGTTCTTCCATTTCTTCAGATTCAGCAATATCAATTGGCAATTCTCCATCATTGTTGACCATAGCTACTGAAGCACCATTTTCAAGCAGGTATCTAAGTTAAATATATAACAATTTAGTAAAAACATGAACATTTCCATAAAAATGAAGTCTGATTTTAAATATTTTATTGCAGTTAACATTACAGTATAAGTAAGCCTATCAGTGTCTTATTTTACAAATTAACTAACCAACATACTCAATTTCTACTTGCAACTATAAAACAACCATATAGTTTTTTCCCTGTAACTAATAGAAATAAAAAAACTTGAAGTACCTTAATAATAAAAATAATTTATAAAATTACTTAATAAAAATAACATATTTATAACAATCATATGATTAGAATAAAAAGTTGTAATTGATGCTATTCTCTATTATTCTTTTATTATTCGCATCTGACAACAGTAATACTTACATCTGTAAGACCAAACGTTCTTGAAGAATTGAATGCAGAATTTATATAATGTTACATTTCCAACAATGAAAATGTATTTCTCATAGATACTTACTTTCACTCACATAACAGCTTTCTGTAATTTATGCTGCCCTCTATATGCAAAATTTATGCTCACTAGCCTTGAGGATCCCACCTAATTTTACGTATCTACATGCAGTATACCTGCATTGTAGCATGCAACAACCCTCCACCAATAGGAGTGCAACACACCCTCCTAGTGCAGCTGACTCCTTCTATACTGAAAAGCACAATCATCACTTTGAGATTAGACAAGAAACGACACACCATAAGTGGGGAGGATGGGTAGAAAGTGTGGGAGAATGAAAGTATCTATCAGAAATACATCTTCACCCACAATGAAGATACATGTCACCAAGCCTGGCAGAAATGAAGCCAGTCCAATAGAGGAATGGACATACCAGATGATGTTGAGTGGCTAGGGTATGTCAGACCATACTCTGTGGGTAAACTCCAGTTTAACACTTGGCACCATCACAATCCAATCCACAGTAGGAGAAGGGGCCCAACCATCTTCACCTCTAGACCAGGAAATAGAAGGGAAAAGCTACTTCCATTCCTACAACCTAAGCAGGGCACATGTGCGCAGTCCCAGTACACAACCAACACCAGGCCACCCAGAACCTGATATTCATGTAACATTAGGAAGGGGAAACACAAACATGGTGGGTTAACTCCAATCCAAAACCAGGTGGGGTCAGGAATGTTTTGTCCAGTCCATGGTAGGAGTAAAGCCCCAACCAAGCACAAGTGGGAAGAGTTATGTTGGCTTGTCCTGCACGAATCCAACACCAGACTGTCCGGGAAACAACAAACAGGTGGCAGTAGGATGGGGGTAAGCCAGTCAAAGGGGTGAACTGCATGTGGCAGATTCATCCAGTCCAAAACCAAGTAGCATTGGGCATTGTTCATCTGGTCTGTGATAAAAAAAAAAAAGGTACAAACCACCATCGCCAACAGAACACCACTGCCCTACTCTCTAATGAGAGGAAGTGATTACATTCAGGAGAAAGCCTCCATGGTCCACTTCCCCAATGGCTAAAAACTGGTAAGTGGCAAGGATGGGAGAGAGAGGAGTGAGGTTGAAGGAGTAGGGAGCATGACAGAAGGAGAAGAAGATGAGGAGAGGACCAAAAAAGATTCAATAGAGAAACCACAGCCAATGCAGAGCAAGCAGGTGGACTCGACATGAAGTGACCAGAATGAGAGAAAGCACATGAGGGATCAGACAAGTAAGAGGATAGACATAGAGAAAAAGGTTGGACCAGTTCTGACTGAATGCATCCACAGCAAGAGTTGAGGGTGTTGAGAAGAGGGGCAAAATCCAGAGGATTGAGGAACCATTCAGTAGGTAGTATCTTGTTAAGCCTGCAAAGATAATCCACAAAAAGAAAGGGTGCACCCAGAACATAAGTTATTAGGCATATATATCTAAAGAATGGGTCCCTAAAAAGAGGTCAAGAGTGTGGAAACAGAGAAAGTGAGACTGGGTGCCTCCCTGGCGACTGATATATCAAACAGCAGCAGATGTGGCTGGGTAGATCTTCAGTAGACATCCATGAACGATCATAAGAAAATGATTCAAAGGCCAACATACCACCAAAACCTCTAAGTGTTATATGAAGAGACAAATCGATGTGAGACCACTGACCTATAATCACCTGAGAATTGAGACACACACACACCCTTATCTTGTCAAGGAGGCATCTTGAAAAAGGTGGAGAAGAGGAAGGAAGAGAAACACCCTCTCTGGTGTTGAGTGTATCTAGTCACCATTCGAAGTCTTTCAGAAAGGAAGGAGGAAGGAAAATGGTGGAGGACAAGAGAACACAAGTGAGGAACTAGTTGACCATGCACAGTCCATTGTAGACATTGCAAATGAGCATGACCCAAGGGAATATGGGATTCCAAGGAAGCATACTTACACCTTGGTCATCCCAAGATCTGGAGCAAAAGATCACTGCGAGGTGAGAAAAATCCCCATGGTAAATCAAGTGAAGTCAATAAACCAAATGAAACATGAAATGATGAAGACCGGATGCTGAGCTATGGATTCCTTAGAAACCACAAAGGGATCAAAATAAATCCTGAAAAAGAAGGAAAAAGTCCTCTGATAGAGTCTTTAGCCATTAAGTCCAACACCACCATGGGTGTTTGTAAGAAACAAGATCCCTTGAAGGAAGGAAAGTAATGGAAACTGGAGACAATGTAGGAGAAGAGAAAAAAATGAAGAGGTATGGTGACAGAACTCCCTGTGCACCACAACTGGCTGCAAATGGAGGGCTAATGTCTGTAAACCTAAGTAAACAGGACCCACTGATCCTCAACCTACAGGATAATCACTGCCAAGACTGACAGCACTGAAGTCTAAAAGTGGTGGGATGACAGATTGTATCAGGGAAACAGGAAGATGGGAAAACTTAAGCCTAAGAAAAGAGTAGTTGACTCCCAAATCTGAAGAAAAGACTACAGAGTTTAGGAGTTGAAGAAAGGCATTCCAGCACGAAGTTAGGCCTAGTCATATGAGGTAATAAAGGAAGGAGGATGAGGCATGCATGCACCAAATTAATGGTAAAAGAAATTGAATATGGACTGGCATATCAGGAAAGAAAGTTAAAAACATAAAAAGGAGAAGCATGGAACAAAGTACAAAGAGAAGGAGTGAAACATGTCTGAGAAACCTAGTCCCAAAATTACAAAAAAAGGCTTAGGTACAGACAAGACAGTATGGCATAAGATTAGACAATATAGGTAGTGGGAAAAAAAGAGCAAAACCCTTTCTTGCAAACGATGTAAGTAGAGGTATGTCAGGTACAAAAGAAGGCACAGGTCCCAAGAACTACTCTACCACCCAATGCACAAAAGTCTTTACTTCTCCCAATAGTCAAAAATAAATCCAATGCAAATGTAGGTGTGAGACTAGTGTGAACAATGTCTTATTGTCTCACACCAAAGTAGAAGGTACTGATACTAATGAAATAATGTAGAAATAAAAGGCCATAATATCTACAGGGGCAGAAGAAATGTTGGAAAGTGAAAATTATAATTTTCCTACACAGAAAATGTTTTTCTGTTAGATACTTACCCCCTCTCACACAATGGCTTTTCTTAATGAATGCTCACTCTATATGCTCAATTTTGTTTGCTTGCCACTAGCCTTGATACTCCCCTCTGGATTACAGAGTCTAAAATCACTTCGAGATTAGGCACTCAAAACAATACACTGGAAGTGGGGAGGAAGGGTGGGAAGTGTGAGGAAAGGTGTCTATTGGAAATGCGTTTTCTGTGTTGAAAAATTATAACTTCCTATAGGATACCTTACATAATAGATAGAATCCCACATTGATTTGTTGGAGTGACCAATGTAAAAATACCTAGATGAGCACCCTTCAGAATGCATCTAAAGAGAACCCATGGTGTGACATTTCTGTGAAGAGGAAACACACACATGGACGATGGCTCCACATCTGAACCAGGTATACTCTTCCCTGTGAAGTATGACAATGTTGCTAAAGGGGCAGGAAAAAAAGCACATACAAGAATTAGCCATATGTGCCCCACGTATAGAGTGGACAGGGCAAGTCCAACTGTAGTCAGGAGATCAACTCCAGCCCAAAATAACTGGAACTGGAAAAAGAACTTCCCATGCCTGGTAGGAGAAGGATTCTCAACCATCTTATTCAAACTGTAAATGAGAGGTCAACACCAGTCCAAAAACATAGAAACCAAGAAGGAGGAAAACTATAGTATGCAAAATGTGTGAAACTTGACAGATGGATAGCTTGAATTTGTATTTTACTTTTTGAAAGTCAAGACTACAAACATGTTGTATATAATAAACATGTGAAAGCATCACTTGATTTTTCTTCCTATGATAACTGAATTTGAAAATACCTTTTAAGTATCCAAAACAACTAAGAAGTAAAACAATTTTCATAACAAAAACATTTAATCTAGTGTAAATTGATGATAGATAAAACATTATCTGAAACCTACTTGGCAATGCTAAGAAAACCACAGGAGGCAGTAGCATGCAGTGGAGTCCACCCTTCATTGTCCCCTTGGTTCACGTCACATCCGTGTTCAACCAGGAATTCTACCATTTTTAAGTTATCATCAATGCAGGCCTGTAGAAAACACAAATCTGAGTACAAGAATAAAATATGTAGATTTAGTCTCTGAAACTCCAAAGCATTCTAAGATCTTCAAACTAAATACTTGTTGTCATTTTAGACATGAGGAAAGTCACTATGACTTTAGTTGTACAGATATGAATTTTGAATATGTAGTATGTTTAGAATGATTGAATGCTACATTATAAAATCTTATCAAAATTGATTTTGTTTCACAGTTTTCTCAAAATGGCATGTGTCTTGGTCCACATAGTCAGAAAATTCTTAACAAAATATTCTCTTAATAAGAGAAACACATAATGTTACTTTCAAAATTTATTCCTTTTGGACCTCTGTCAATACAATTGTCCCAAAACGTTTTCTGTACCTCAAGATAAAACCAAAATATTTCATTCATTATCCATACAACCTTTAGTAAAGCTGCTATACTACAGTCCTTGATATTCATAATAGATCAGATGTCCCTAGAGGTACAAGGAAATATTTATTGTGGTATAGAATGAGCAGTTGAGGGCCTACTCCGTGACAATATCACTAAGATCATGACCTTCAAAACTTTTATTAATATGCATTTATACACCACAAATGTCAGTTGCAAAGACATAGACATTAACAAATGAAATATTTTAAACTAAAAGTTAGAAATATTGGTTCACAAAAAGAGCAGTTATAGGCATAAATGGAAATAAGACATCTTACCAGTATTATGCAATAGTGGAAAACAATCAGTAACTGTTAAAATGTAAAATAAAACAATTAAGAGTAGATTAATTTTTTATTAAAAAAGCAATTCAATCTTTTGACCATACATGTAACCACCTTCCACTACAAACATTATAATACAGACATTAAATAGTAACATGAAAATTAAAATACACAGAAAATGAAGATGGTTTTAACACTATCATTTATCATAAATCCCGTAAAAAAAATAAAAAAATTACAGAATCATTTATTAATCTAATCAACTTAATAGAATTTAAGTGTTCAAAAATACTTTCTATATAGATGAAAACGGACAAAAATTTAAAAAGTAGAATTAAGGAACACCCACCCACACACATTCATGACCATTTCACACAACAGTTTGAAATAACTATTTTTAAAATCATATACAGTGAAAGTAATTTTAATAAAAGAAAAACACTCTTAACAATAAAAGAATTAAAAGGAAATAGAAATTATAATGCTGGTACTAATTTATATTTGGGTAAGATATATCCTATTTGAGTTGCTGTTTGATATCTTTATTTTAATGTTTGTATCTGAGAGTGGCCACATGTATGGTCAAATTGTTGTACTGCCTTCTTTATAAAAAAATAAAAAGAATTTACCCTCTTTAGGCTGTTCCTAGATTTTAACTGATGTTTATGGTGGGATCCCCTCCAATATTATAATCAATAGCTGTGTTCAGAATTGAGTTAGGTGATTAATAGAATTTGCTAATTCATTAACCAGGCTCATTAATTAAATGATTACATTCAACTAAATAACTATTCTCATATGAAATTCATCTTCCTATTTCGAACTTGTCTTAGGGTTATAATAACATTTTACAACTACCCTTTGTTTAATATGATAAACATCTTCAGATACAACAATTTAGGATTAAGTTAGTTTTTAATCCTAAACTGTTGACCAAAAAGATGTATCCTATACAGAATATAGTACAAAATATGTTACAAGTTGAAAAATAGAATTAATACTGTTCCAAAGATTTCTCCCTCTAAATGTTTAGAAAACTACTCTACTAAAATCAAATAAAGTAATTCTTTGTTAAAAATAATTGCCCTTAGTCTTCATGTGATAAAACTAGTAAATATTCTTGTCACAGCGTGTGATAAATAATATATATAATTCAGTGAAAACATATTCACTCTAATCCTAGAAAAACAAAGACAGTGGAATGTTTACTATTTGTAACTTGTGGTGATACTAGATGACCTCTTTGCAGAGGTCAAAATTAACAACTTTATAAGTATAAAACATCATATAAGCTTTTAAGTATGAAGTTATTGATATAGATGGAAGTTTAAAAACCCATTAAAATGAATAAAATTTTTACATTTTACAATACAGGCTGAAAGAAACTGTAGAAACATAAATGCCCCCTGAGAAATCAATAAAGCAAATGACTTAAAGCTATAGTAGGTAAGCATTGTTCAAGAGGCACATAACATTCATACTTTTATTTTTCCCTTTTCGGTGCTTCCTATCTAGCTAGAGCTAGTTATAATTAAACAAAGTTTATTTGTTAAATACATTAATGACTTAATAGTGTTATATATTGTTAGACTGTTATCAATCCAAGTCTAGTAATTGTTGACAATCACAGTTGAAGGAACAGTAATTAAAAATTTTTTTTGATTAATAAAAAATAATGAATATGAATTTATTGTAACTTCTTTTTTAGTAAAGCAATCTTACTCAAGTAATGCTGGTTAAATTTGTAGCTTGTGGCTTTTTTTGCAGATGAAACTGTTTTTCAACAAACTGATGAATACGCAATAACAGCAGAGTTCACTCAGAAGTTTACGAGTGTTTTTGTGAAATGTAATTTGACTCAGATTTCTATTTAGTGTGAAAATGGATAAGTAAACAAATGAACATAATCTTTATTTTAACAATAAAAAGAAAACTAGTGCATGTACCTACTCTTAACAAACAGTCATCTCCTCTTGATAATATTTATTCCTATTTCCTTCTCTGTCTCTCTCAGGATTGAGTGCCAAAGAAACAAACATGATGATTTTCAAAAGAAAGCAGATCCTTCCCATAAATCAACTAATAAAAAACTGAGCAAAGAAAGTGTGTTCAAATCTAGAATGTAAATTTGCTTTCTTTGTCCAGTGGATGGTATCATCTTGTGACCTCTATTCCTTGACAGTTCTGATTGGATTTTGCTTTCAGGCAACATCATAATCAGCCAAAAAAATGGATATTTCAGTTCTAGCCCATTCAACTCAGCTGCCTTTTCTAATGCTGAAATATCTTTGCAGGCAAAGGAGATGTCAACTACTAAATTAACAAAGAAATGAAGTAACTAGAACAAAGCAACGTTAGCAACTTTCTGAACCATGTGTTTCCACAATGACAGTGCAGAAACTAAGAAATATAAAAAAATTGAAGGTTTCTGTATCACTATAGAAAATCCAAACATGTAATATGCCCATGTATCATTAACTTATAATAAGTAAGCAACATATTAAGTTAAATTTACATTACTGTATATTCCAAAACAGGTAAATACAAACAACAAGCATCACTGTGGCAGGCTATGTAATCAATAGCCACCTCCTTCTATTCATGGGTTGTGTACATATCATTGCATACAACTGCACCAATGGAAGTAGTACTAGCTATCATTTTGTGTGTCAGTTCAATTGGTATGTATCCCAAGCCTATTTGCTGGTAAAGAGTAACTTAACAGTTGGCAGTGGGTGATGTCAGCTGGTTTTTTTCCTTCTAGTCAGCACTTCAAAATTAGGAACTGTGGTAAATAGCCTTAGTAGTTTGCTATAACTCAAAGAAACAAATATAATGTATTCATGGTTGAAAGGGTGAGCACGATAAGTGGCAACAAGAATTGAACCCTTGAATTACGAGGCAACCATCGTAACCAGCTAGGAATTCTGGCTTAAAGATCAACAAACTTGAATCAATCAAAAATATATGAAGTTATAATTGCAATATTTCAATTAATAATGCTTGGAGATGGTTTGAATGGGTAATGAAGACAAACTTTAACATAAGTCTAACATAACAGCAAATGTACAATGTTTCAACAAGGTTTTGTTATCATCAGGTAGTGAGTTCCTCGTCCTCAAAATATTTCAATTAATAATGCTTGGAGATGGTTTGAATGGGTAATGAAGACAAACTTTAACATAAGTTTAACATAACAGCAAATGTACAATGTTTCAACAAGGTTTTGTTATCATCAGGTAGTGAGTTCCTCGTCCTCAAAATATTTCAATTAGTCAGATAATTGAAATATCTGAAAATAATAATAATAATCAAAAATTAAGGATGCACCAATTATAATTTTCTTGGCTGATACCAACAGCCTAGAATTACCCAACCATATCGGTTTATTGATACTTAGTATTAATGCAGGTAAGACACTTTTTAAACTACTGAGACAGATTTAAAATTTAACCTATATGTGATTTCTTTCTGGTTGAATTTATAACAAAAATTCACAAATAGTATTTACTTAGTTTGTTTATTTCAGGAAATGAATAAAAAAGAATAACAGTCATAAAAAAGTTCAAAAAATACTCTCCATCAGTACTTTTAGAAACACTTGGCAAAATAAAACACACACACACACATACACATTACATTTTGAATTGTAACTTAACTTTAATTAATTCATTGTAGAAACTTTGAGGGACTGTAAGTGTTATTATTAAAATCATCACAAAAAAGCATAAAACTAGTCAATCTATTTCTCCAAATTCAGCCTAACAACTTTGTTACTTCAGGGAATATATGACAATTTTTGACTCAAAACATGGTGCAAATATGCTCACATGCAATTCAAACCAAGACATAAAAAATACAAGAAAAGAAAATGATGTGGTGTATTTTGTAGTTATAGTAGTAATAAAAATCTATAATGATAATTTACTTTTTCAAGTGATAAATAAAATTATTATATTTATCATAGCAAGCATGTGAGTAGAAGGTTCTACTTCACAAAAAAGTAACATTTCTGCTTTATCTCACATCAGCCTGTTACTCTTCTCATCCAAAACATGTAAGGGAGCTTCAGCCACAATGGAAAAATTACCTTTGTTGCTCTCCCAGTATTGCAGTTTTTGTCTGCTTCTTGGAAGCATGGACTCAATCAAGTTTGTTTCTTTCTTTCTTTCTGAAGCACAACACTGCTGTTCATTTCATTAGTTTCTAACTGCATGCACCTTTCTCTAATATTTGTCCCACATCGAACAGATGTTACTATTAAGCTTTATAAAAGTGCCTTTACCTTC